CTGTTTACGCCATCCTGCGTTTTTATTCCAAATGTCAAAGTGAATGATATTAAAAGTATAGATTAGAAAGCAATTGCCCAAACACAATGTCCTATGAGTTACAGAAGAGTAAAGAGTTGCTTTATGAAACTTTGGACAGAGGAAACATGATAATTCTTTCTTATTCCAGACTGCAAACCAGCTGATTGTAGCAAACTTTCTAAAACTCGAGTTCTCCCCTAACTCCCTACTGGTGTTGATCAGCAATTGCTGCCTACACTGCACCATCCACACTGGCTCTTGAAGGTCCTGTCAGTGGAGAAAAAGGAAAATTACTTCTGTATCGTAGAACCAGAGAATGTCCATAGCTGGAAGGGACCCTTACAGATCATCAAGTCCAACTTCTGGCTCCACACAGCACCACCAAAAATCAGATCACGTGTCTGAGGGTGTTGTCCAGATGCTCCTTGTACTCCACCAAACTCGGTGCCATGACCACTTCCCTGGGGAGCCTGTTCCAGTCTCCTCAGTGATGAAACTTTTCCTGATATCCAACCTGTATGTCTTTGAAGACCAAGTCAAGGACCATGACATCAAGCCAGCAGAAGTAACCACATTCCCACTCACTGGAGCAGACTGACAAGATTCAAACTGCAAAGAATTTGATTTTGCATTCCCATGAGTTACATATGCTTTTTCTGGTTGCAATTTTACCCTATTTTGTTTACTTTTTGTGCAAATATTTTTTCAGCACAAGGGCTGTATACCAACTCAATTAAGCTGTTGTGTACAGTGAGAGTAGGTTCGGTATGTGGAGCATTTGAGAGCTGAAGGCATGTAGCATGCTTTTGGATGGCTATACCAGGAGGAAGGTTGCCAGACTTCACAGGGCTTGTGCTGTCTGATCTGAAGTAACCCTAGAGCAAACCACTCTATCAACTCTGCCCAGGTTTTCTTTTGGAGCGAACTCATTGGTTTGCTCAAGGAGGGATTATGGGAGGCTATAGGGATGAACACAGCTTGGATATCCCATACAACAGGCTTTGCAGAGAAGTGGAGAACAAGCCAAAAGGTCAGCGCAGAACTGAGTCCTTTGTGGAGAAAGTTGATGATGTATTTGCATAAGCTTTCCATATTGCCAAAACCACCTTGACATGCCAGGTATATGGGGTCATTATTTATGTGAAGAAATGAATATTTGTTTTTTTGGTGTGCAAATCCAGTATTTTATGCTACTTCCAATTTAAAAAAAAAAAAAAAAAAAAAAAAAAAAGCCTCTGAAAAGTGGTGGGATTTTTTGGTGAAAATATTACAAATGATAATTTGTATTCTTATAAATTTTAAATGCATGCATATACCAGCTAGTCCCTACCGTACTGAGTACTGCATTTTGTAGCAACCCTATCTGCAATGTTCTGCTACTCACTTGAGAGCACCACTGCTTCACTTTTAGAGACACTGCTTGCCAGCTTCCACAGAGCTTCAAAGAGGAGCCCATGAGTTATACAGAAGAGCTCAGTGCCTATGATCCTTGGTTACTGCAGGGAGCCATTACAGTAACCAAAGGGGTTACATTCATGTGGCAAAATTAGCCAAGGCATATCCTTACAAGTACAACTACCAAGCGTTAGTACGTCCAAATCAGTTGTCCATATCCACAAACTTCAAGAAATAGCATAAGCTCCAGCAGAGATCATGGGGGCAAAGCAGCATGCATGCAGAGAGGGCAATCAAGACGCCAGGGCTTTGCAGTGAGTTAGAAAGCAAGCAAATTCCAAGCCATGGCTTGAATGAAAATGAAGATGTTGGACTGGATTAGCAACAGGTGGGTGACGCAGCTGCTGTCTGCATTCTTGCTTAGAGGAACAGGTCTAAGAGCAGCCCAGAGTTGGGCTGAGCTGTGCACTCCTTGAACTTCTAGCTGCAATGCAATGATCAGCTCTACTCAATGTAAAGGTAAGCAAAGTAGTTTTAACTCCTCTCCAGAAGTCATTTAAGCTACCCTGGATTGAATTAGGAGCAGCTGTTTACAGTGTTATCACCTACAGCTGAGGAGAGCTTTAGAAAGTTGTCCTTAACCCCTCTTAGTGTTCAGTTGTTCTTGTTTCCTTATGACTCTTCATTCAATCCATTGCCTATGCTGCTACGGCCAATTCTTGGGTTTTCAAGAAAACTGTGATAATTAAAGAACAAAGACTGTCTGAAGGCAGGACCAAGGAGCAGCAAGAGGGAAGCAATACTGAAAAGCACAGGGACAGGGCTGATTATACCAGCAGCTGCTCTTCGTCCTTTTGTCCTTCTGTGCCTGCAAGTGAGGATGTTTGAGGCTGAGCCTGTTTCAGAGCTGGAAAATGCCATCTTTTTGGTTATATACAGGCAAAGTAGCTGTCGAGAGGCATTACAGCTGCCAAAATTATGGTGTTATTGGGAAAATTTTTAACAGGTCTCTCAGGAACAATTGTAGAACTACACTGCAGCTTTTCCTTTTGACTTCTGTCTGTGCTCACATTTTTGTATAAATTAAGCGCTATGTAATCATCTTCGCTATAAGAAACAACTGCAACATTGAGTGTCTGACTGAAATATACTTAATAATGATTTGCATATATTCTTCCCCACACTTAAATTTGGAGTTCTGTCTTAAATGTGTCTCCAAACCCCATGCACATTTAATCAACTTTCATAAATCACAGAGATTTTATTGTAAATCTTGCACAATCCCTTATCATTACTGTGGTGGATTACAGGAGCTTAATCTGCCAATATGGATGTGGAGACACTTCACCACCTCTGGTCACCTGCTCAGCTTTACTCTGCAGTGATAAAATGTACTAAAAAACACCAGTTCCTTTCCAGTTTTCAAAGCCTGAGTGGGGAAAAATCAAGATAGAATCATAGAATCGTAGAATGGCCTGGGTTGAAAAGGACCATAATGATCATCTGCTATGTGCAGGGTCACCAACAAACAGACCAGGCTGCCCAGAGCCACATCCAGCCTGGCCTTGAATGCCTGCAGGGATGGGGCATCCACAACCTCCTTGGGCAACCTGTTCCAGTGCCTCACCACCCTCTGTGTGAAAAACTTCCTCCTACTATCTAACCTAAATGTAGCAGCAGCACAAGAGACACAACCAAGTGTGTGCCTATAATTAAAAACAGTAGCAGCGTAATTAGGATGAAAAGAGAGGCAGAAAGGTAACCAATCTTCACCAGTGATTTGAGAAAACACAAAAGTGAAATGGGCTTTTTGCCATTAGCTTGCCTAGGGCTGGGCTTTCCCTGCAAACTTCACGCCCTCTTAGATATCCGCTTTCAGTTTTGTAGTTATTAGGACTAACACAAAATCAAGCAGATAGTTTTCATTGTGTCATGCTTTCAAGAAGTTGCAGTCAAGAGTTGTCACCCAGAAAAAGCATATTTTAATTTTATAGCATAATATTTACCTGGTAGCTCATTGCGCTATTTCTGTGTTTCCTTCCACATGAGATAATGTGTATGCAGCACAGCAATACATAATGGTATTATTAAAAAAAGAAAACAATGAACAAAGTTCAATTGCATATAATGGCTTATATTGCCTATATGTATGTGCACACACAAGGTAAGTTTTATTTCTGAAAAACAGAAATGGAAATTTGCAGTATTTGTTACACTTATCAGGCTAGAACACCTTTAAAAGGTTTCTTTCGGAAGATGTTTCTATGTGACTAAAAGCAGTTAATAGTGGCTTGTTTTTTGTTGTTGTTGAAAACCTCCAGTTATCTTTCTAGAAATGACTAATACTGCACATCTATTTCAGCCTGGGTGCATGAGAATACAGTTGTGTTGCTGCAAAAGGAGTCACACTTGTGTAGTCAGGTTTGATCAGAACGGCTCTGCTGTGCATCCTGTCTGTGTTTCCACAACAATCCACTGCTGCTTAATAACAATCCATAATGTTCTGAAAATAATAAGCCTAGGTGGTCTGGAGAAATAGCAAATGGAAATCCTGTCACATCTTATCCGGAGAGAATTGATACATTTTGTTTTTCTCCATTCCCCAAGGGGTACAGCAGATGTACAGGTGCTGGGCTAGAAATTGTTATAATTACAAAACCTGTATTCTGTTCCTCGGAGAGCTTTGAAATTTTCAACATACAGTAGAAAGTTGAACTTTGAAGAGGGAAAAAAAAAATAAAATCCATATGCCTGAAGAACAATAGAGTACAGGATGATTTCCTGAATTATTTACTGCAGCAAGTCGATCATTAAGAAATACAGCACAACAAACAAAACTCTGAAGAAGCACTGTAAATCTGAGCGATATCAAAAACAAAACTGCTGGTCCTCAAAGTTTGTGTTTGTTTGTTTTTTTTCTTTTTTTCTTTTTTTTTTAACACAACTTTCATTTTATATTTTCTTCACCTAAGGTCTGCTTATATAAGAATCTACATGGATGGACAAAGCTCTTCCTCTCACCATATTATGGTTTTAAGCTGAGGGAAGGGAGATTTAGGTTGGACGTCAGGGGGAAATTCTTTACGGAGAGAGTGGTGAGGTACTGGAACAGGCTGCCCAGGGAGGTTGTGGATGCCCCGTCCCTGGAGGTGTTCAAAGCCAGATTGGATGGGGCCCTGGGCAGCCTGGTCTAGCATTATGTGGAATGGTTGGTGGCCCTGCATGTGGCAGGGGGGTTGGAGATTCATGATCCTTGAGGTCCCTTCCAACCCTGGCAATTCTGTGATTCTGTGATTCTGTGATATTTCCATTATCAGCGTGCTTGAATGGAGCTACTGGCTTTATATGAGAGGAAAACTCTTTATTATTACTAAAATAAGAAAATGTTGAATTCAATAGGTTGCAGTTAATAATAGTACTAATCCATTTACTTGCAAAGATCTGCTGTTGATGATAATAAATGATTCAGGTCTGAGATGAAGATTGCCTTGTTCTGTGGGGTACCCACTATTCTCCTAAGCCAAAGATGAATCCTCTGGTTTGGTGAGCTCCAGAACTTACTGATGTCAATATGACATCAGAATGGAGAAGAGGCTTTAGTATGGAGGAGACTCATGGAAGATCTTCTCATTCTCTACAACTACTTGAGTGGAGATTGTAGCAAGGTGAGGGTTGGCCTCTTTTCCCAGATAACTAACACTAGGATGGGAGGTGATAGCCTTACATTGCACCAGAGGAGGTTCAGGTTGGGTAGTAGGAATTTTTTTCTCTGAAAGAGTGCATTGGTACAGGCTGCCCAGGGGGGTGATGGAGTCACTGTCACTGGAGGGGTTCAAGAACCATGGAGTTGTGGGACATGGACAGTGGGTATGGTGGGGGTGGGCTGGGGTTGGGCTTGGGGATCTTAGTGTTCTTTTCCAACTTTAAAGATTCTATGATTCTATGAGGATCATAGCCTTTCAGAACTAGTGGGACACTCACATTTTCTTTCTAAATCAAGATGTATAATTTATGGATGTCTTCTGGAAATTAGAACATTTTATGTAGATCTGTCCCAATTATTTGACAATCTGCATTGTTCAAATTTCATCCCTTCTTCATACCAGCTGAAATTGATATGGAAATTGAAATGCACTTTAAGATGGTTTCACATGTCTCCTGGGAGTTTGGTAAAAGTGGAGTTTCCTTGCATTTAGCATTTTAACCCCCTGTTGTATTTCCCTGCAGCCATCTCAGTGTCTAGCAGGGAGAAGCTCGACATGTTTTGTGCCTGGAGATTGTGGTGCCTGGCATACATCCAAATTACTAATACTGCCATAACAGCTTTAAATTAAGCCCTGCTATGTACACTCTTTAATCACTGAGTGTTTCTTTCAGCTAGTCACTAGCTCAGCCCTAATTTAGACTATTCTGTTTTGGGGATTGTACTTCAGTATGAACGATAATGTGGGGAAGAGTGAGCAATGCTGATTGAAAAAGAAGAGGGCAGGAAGCTCAAGGCAACTGCTCACAATAGGGAACAGAGCCCATGGCAGTGATTGTGATGCTGTGTGAGAAGCATTTGATGACACTAAAGAGAATGGAGAAGGAACTGTCATTTTTATGGTTTTCATATTGATTTCTAGAGTGTTTGCAGATCACTGTGACTCCTTTCATAGCATAGCTTACACGTAACAGCTTTATTCCAATCATTGAGAAAATTATTTTATAAATAATCTCTTAGAAAGTAAAAATCCAGCTTCGTTGAAAGCCTGAAAGCTATTTATTACACAATGGATTTTTGACAGTCTCATTGGAGCCTACTCTTAAAAAATCTACAGGGAAATCAGTCCCTGCATTGTTGTTCTTATTACATGGCTACTTGGACAAAAGGTTCAATACTGCTGAATAAAAGAGGTTTTTCAGATTAAAAACCAAAATCTCAAATTTTAAAAGCACATTCAGCTATTGCTGTCATTTCTGAGGGACCTTACAGAATAAAAAACTTCCCATTCAGTCTCTGTGACTGAGAAAGAGAAACTGTTTGTTCTTCTATTCACCCTAAAGATAACACTATGTTCAAATGGACTTGACAAGCTCGGCTCCATCAGCAGACACTGAAGGAATGCAATGTCACTGCTAACTTTGTTTGTGTTTTGAGCTGGTATAGCTATTTCTGTTATGGAAATTTACCTCTCAAGCCTTAAAGTTTTATATTCTTCTGTACAGAATAGAGTGAATTTAATAGTATTGTCTGCTTCCTGACATGTCGACTTGAGAAACAAAGCAGGATCCTACCTTTTAGACTATGATGTGCAAAACACATTAAATGAGAAGCTGAAAATCTCCATAAGTAGCATCATTCTGTGAGCTTTATAGGAGTCTTAAGCACGAAGCAAATTGGTTTATCGTGACTGATGAAAGCATTTAAATATAGAGTATTTCAATTTTTAAAAACATCAAAAATCAAACAACTGAAAAGCAACCCTTGAAGAACATGCTGGCACTTGAATTTTTTAGTTATGCTCCAGACAAGAGATTTTTTCTCTACTTTTGAAGGAAACTTCTCTAGTAACCTTTTCTTATTTTGCAAAAAAGAATTGCATCACACTGTGTTTCATCTGGCATAGCTCTTCAATCTCTTCAATAATTTCTGCTGCCACAAAATGTCTTCATGTAACATAGCAACAGTTTCTGTAACTGTGCAGATTTAAAATCATCAAAAACATTGCACTTGGTCTAAATCACATGGATCTCTTTCCTGTTCTATACACTGTATTTAGTATAGGTAAGGTATTTGCAAATAGCTATCTCCCCAAAGCAAAAGTCAAGAAGAATAAAAAACAAAAAATAGGACTGGATGCTACATCCGATGCTTGAAGTCCCTCTGATGTATCTGAGACACAGTAGGAAGGAAAAAGCTTCTTATTTGAGGGGAGAATATCATTTCTTTTTCAGTGCTTAGTAGCAACACGTGAAAGACCAGAATAACCGGATAGCAACAAATAAGATGGAAATGCTAAAGTAAGAAAAGACCTTTTGATTATAGAATATGTCCTTTTTCATGCAATGCACCGAACTTCAGGATAAATTTCAAACTGAAGTTCAAGTTTATGTTGCCAACAGGGTGTGGACAAACTGATTGTGTTTAGAGAATGTTCTGAGGAGTACCAGAACCTGGAACATACTTATTCATGAGCAGTACCTTACATGTCAAATCTTACATTAAGATTAAATAAACAACTGCAGTAAGGCTTTAAGGATGTTAGTACAGTTACATATTTAAGTAAGTAGAGATGTAGGATTAACTTGTTAGCATTCTTTTATTACTATTCTCTAAAACTATTTCAATTAGATCAAGTAGGCTTCAAAGTTATGACTGCAGGGATTCTTTCATCCTAGCAGATGCTCCACAGTGAGAGGAGGGGAAAGTAACAGCTGCAAAGTGGAATGAGCCCCTTTGTGGAATGATGCACTGAAGAGGTCAAATTGATTCAAAATCAGAGTTTTTGAAACATAAAGTGAAGGCCACACTGGTCTGAAAACACCAAAGACTGTTATTAAAACATTAAAAAATTGAACAAAGAAACAAAAAACAACTTTGTATTCTGCAGCTGAATTATATACCTGAAATCTAGAAAGAACACTCTTGCATGTAGGTGCTTTGAATTTACAAATAATGTCCAGGCAATTGATTTCATTATAGCCATGGTTTCTTGCAAACAGTTCCTGACAATATTAGAACTGATAGTAAGACTTCCAACTATTGGAGGTCACAAGAATTTAAGGGCATTTTCCAGTGCTCCTCCCAGAGCACCGCTTTTACAAGGAGTAATTATGCAGAGTGAAAGCTGATGGATCGTTCAGATATCAGGGAAGCCTTCACGTCTTTTCACTAGATGTAAAGTATAATCAGAATTTTACAGAAGTACTTCTGAATGTCACTTATACAGTCTTCTTGGCAGCTTCTTAGAATCCATTTCCTGTCATACCCAGAGGTACAAGGAGGCAGAACTGTAAAAATGCTGCATTCCTTTGCCTCGTTTTCCTTGAGCAGGGAAAGCTGCTGACAAGAAATAGAGGATCGGATGGACATCAGATGTGCAACACTGTGGGAACTTCTGTAAATCTGTAAACTGGCTGCCTGTTTTTTTATTTTATTTTATTTTATTTTATTTTTATTTATTTATTTTTTTTTCACAGTACTCATAGTGCCAGGTTGTCTATTATCTCAACTTTTGTTTTGTAATGACAACATATTTAGGCAGCAGTATCACTGTATTGCCATGTTTATTGATGGATAATTTCACATCACCAGCATCCCTTGCCAAACACCTTGCACATGCTGCACCTAACACCTGGAATGTGTGATTTACAGCATCCACCTATCCTGAAAAGAGGATCTGGATAGCAATTTGAGACTCACAATGGTTGACAGTGGAGGGTGGCTGTGTGTCATTGTGCCAATGGCAACTGCAGATCAGGGCAGGGGAAGAGCACAGCATCAGACCACTCAATTATTTTTATGGACATTCTACACTCCTGGCCAAACCATGGAGAAGGCTGTGGCCAGTCACCAACTCAATATCACTACCAGACCTTTAATTAAAGTCTATCACTTCTGAATGCTGATATTGCACTGTTAATTTAATGCTCCTAGATGCTGGACTATTGTCATGGACATTGCAGATCTCCTGTGCCAGATCATAAAGAGATTGGCAGTGCAGTGCATAGCAGTATTGATAACCTTACACCTGTAAAGCTGTCAAACTGTTGGTAATGTACACATTATTGTCTTGTAAAACAGGAAAAGAGAAAAGTTTATCAATGTGAAACAGTTGTACCTACTTGAACACCCTTGATTGAAAGGGCAAATCCATATTGTCAAGGTGTTCATTAACCTTAGACTTTTTTCTTGAATCAACAAAAGCATTTATGCTTCTCATACTTCCTTCCAACTGCCACTCTGGGAGATTCAGCTTCTTGCTTGCTTCTCTTCCCTCTTCTGTTTCTTACTGGGAACTTGTACATGGTGAAACAGGCTCTTTCCTTTCAGAATAGACATATGCATCACTTGGGGATTGTTCCAGGAGGTCTGTATGCATACCAAGCAACCTCACAACCAAACTTGAAAGTTTTTTTCTTTGCTCTACATTTAACAGTACTGTGTTTTATGTTTCTGAAAGACCACAGGAGAAAGTGTTGCCCAGAGAACAAAAAAAGCAGGCAGACAGTGCTACACACCATAACCAGCTACAGAAGGCACTCTGAAATGGTGAAATAATTCCAGGATTTTTTAATTTTTTTTCCTATTTTGATGACATGACTTCAATAGCAAGAATATCTTTGAAAATACTTTTAGCTTTGATTTTGTTAAGAGTTGAATTAATGTGATGATGACTGCTAGCTGGAGCTGTTTTCTCAGGACATCTTTTGCATAAGAACAAAAAAATAGTTGTTATATTATACATATATATATAAATTATAGCAGATATAAATTATGGGTAAAACCATGAACAACACAACTCAGGATAAACTGAATTGTTGCACAGTATTTCAAGACATTTATTGAGTAGAAACAGCCCAAACAGTTTGCTTTTGGTGATTAATTAGCCCAGTAAGGGCTTGCAAAGTTTGTGACTGAATGATGGAGTTCTGAAGGTTTTGCTCAATCATCTGCATGATG